CACACATGGCTACAACATCGTTCAGGACCCTGTACACCGTGTATGTTAGGCCTATATTGGAGTATACGGCACCAGTTTGGAACCCACACCTAGCCAAGCACGTAAAGAAACTAGAGAAAGTGCAAAGGTTTGCACAAGACTAGTCCCAGAGCTAAGAGGTATGTCCTATGAGGAGAGGTTAAGGGAAATCAACCTGACGACACTGGAGGACAGGAGAGATAGGGGGGACATGATAACGACATACAAAATACTGAGAGGAATTGACAAGGTGGACAAAGACAAGATGTTCCAGAGATGGGACACAGCAACAAGGGGACACAGTTGGAAGTTGAAGACACAGATGAATCACAGGGATGTTAGGAAGTATTTCTTCAGCCACAGAGTAGTCAGGAAGTGGAATAGTTTGGGAAGCAATGTAGTGGAGGCAGGATCCATACATAGCTTTAAGCTCATGGTTCAGGGAGAGTGACCTAGTAGCGACCAGTGAAGAGGCAGGGCCAGGAGCTTGGAATCGACCCCTGCAACCTCAACTAGGTGAGTACACACACACAGGAAGACTGGGGAAGAAGGCTAGATGAGCTTGCAAGGAAGATGGAGGAGAGGTTAGTAGCAGAGTGCAGACGGTGGGAGCAACATGCCACAGTAGCAGAAGTCAAGATACAGAGATTAGAAGAGGAGCTGAGAAATCTGAAACAGCCTAGAGATAAAGATAATACAGAAGTAGCATCAGCAATGTTTACATCAGACACAGACAAAGGGTTTGAAGGGAGCATGGAAGCTAAACTGTATGCAGAGGTCCTGTCAAACCCACACAGGGCCAAAACAAAGACAGGGAGCACACTAGGACAGCATGAGAGGTTGGAAGACATTGAAGGAACTAGGACATGTGCAGGGACCTTACCAGACACTTGTGGGGGCCAGGAACAGGTGAGCAGGAAGAACAAACCAATGAGCATAGGGGCCACAGCTAGGGAAGGGATTGAAGGACGGAACACTCCACAGGAAGGATCTAAAACACCTCAGAGGATGCAATGGGAGTCACAGTGGGAGGAGGAAAGGGAGAGATCAGGTTTTGTCTATGGGCTAGACGAAGCTGAAGGGGAAACTTATGATGAAAGAAAACAGGAGGAGAAAAAAGTGATTGAAGGTATCATGAAGGTGATAGGCGAGGGAGACATGACCCAGGTGGCAAATTTTCGGAGAATCAAGTGGTTCACAAAGAGAAGGAAACAGCCTCTCAAAGTAATTTTCAAGGCAGAATCAACTCGAACCATGATCCTGCAGGAGAAAGCACGGCTGAGAGGCAAACAGGAGTTCAAGAGTGTGTACCTCGATCGAGACAGAACACAGGAGGAAAGGACGATACTGAAAGAGAGTGCAAAAACGAAAGGAGGAATGGGAGGAAATGACAAAGAAGAGCAGAATAACCCAGGCACAGGTGGAAGGGCAAGCACACTCCCCAGACACACCTGCAGAAGGACTCCAACCACGACACTCCCAAGGCAACTGAACAATCTAAACCAACCATCACACACCGATCCCTCTGTTCCCACTCCCCGCACCACGAACCCTACCCCTACAGCAACCCCATATGGGAGCTCTTCCTCCACCTCCACTGCAACCCCCCACAGGCCCCCACCAGGGTTCCTGCTCTCCCAACCCCAGTATTCCCCCAGGACCACAGTTACAGTATTAGAACAGAAGTTGAAGGTTTGGTACACAAATGCGGATGGATTAGCGAATAAATATGAGGAGCGGCCAGAAAGAATCAATGAGAAGTCCCCAGACATCATAGCAGTTACAGAAACAAAACTCATGGAGACAATAACAGATGCAATCTTCCCACCAGGATACCAGATCATGACCATAGAGTCAATAAAAAAAATTATGCAGACCAATCAGTTAAGCCAAATCTTTGGATATATTGAAGCATCCGTGTTCTGCACAACTATATTGTCAAAACAGATAATGGCTAATTCTAGACAGCTGGAGTTATATAAATCTTCTTCCTTCATAATATGTCTAGCATCATTCCCCTTCATCAAACAGTTGTGGCTCATCTTTTGAATGTCACAAGTCTTATCAAAACTGTCAGCACAACATGTGTATATAACACAGGTGTATATGTCTCTACGTGTCTCTTCCAAATGTATTTCCGAGCATCCACCACATGGTATTATATAACTTCAGCTTTTTTTAAGCTAGATATGTATGTTTCTTGCTAGTTAAGTCTAATAGCTGTTGGTAGTAGTGGCTACTCTAAGACTAATAATATATTTAGTACCCAGAAAGGTACTAAATATATTATTAGCTACCTTATTGTTAAATTACAAATATTTCAATAATAATAACAATAATAATAATAATAATAATAATAATAATAATAATAATAATAATGTAATTTTTAGCACTTAGCCTATATGTGTCATACAGCGTTGTGGGTAGGGATGTGGGAGGGCAAGAATGAAGATTAGGGGTTAATAGAGGTGTGGATTACTGTGAATATACAACTGAAATCATGGTTGGTGTATGAGATTAGGTTCCAATAATACATTAAAGACATAGTCTGTGTCAAAAGTGGGACCTTCAGTGAGATCAGTTAGAGCAATTGTGTACGGACGGATGTAGACTTCCTGAGTGAATTCTTCCAGATATTTGTTAAGCTTGAGGGTACTGATGATCTTCAGAGCACAACGTCTACAGTCATTAATTAAATGAGAGGAAGAAGTGTAGTTTAGAGAAGGCCAAATGAGTGTAGTCATATTCCTCCTGAAGGTGTTCAGGGCTACATATTCTGTAGGCCCTCAGATAGAATCTGATGACAACTCCGTATTTTGCCTTGTTATGGTCCATGTGGAATTGCATTAAACCATCCTCATTAGCTAGTTTCTGTTATACTTTGAAAGACAGTTAAATATACATAGGAGCACAAAGAGTAAGGAAAATTTGTCTTCACATTACTCTTCAAGAATGAATTTAATGGAAGGCTCGACCGAGTTGGGTCTTGGGTATAGGTCAGTTATTTAAGCATCCTGGGTGCTATGAGAATATCATATATATGCCTCAGCAAGGTATGGTCATGGACCGGGCCACGGGGGAGTTGACCCCCGGAACACCCTCCAGGTATACTCCTCCATGTATGTTACATTGTTGAGAATGAAAGGTATGAATTAAGCTGCTCCCAGATACTCCGTGTACAGGTTAGCTAGTACTGCACTAATGGGGGACCCCTTTTCCATGCCAAAACTTTGCCTGTACAGAGTTATCATAAGAAAAACTATTAAAATTAAATAAAAAATCCCTGATGAAGAGATGAAGATCAAAGTCATCATTGATTTCCCTATGAAAAAATTCAGTGGCCTGGTATTTGGGTACATTTGTAAAATAAAAAGCAACATCAAATTTGCTAATTTCTTGTTTCTTGCATTGATATGTTTAACACGGTTGAAATAAGTTTTAAATATGCGTTGCTGATCGTCCAGTTTCTATAAATGTTTGGCTGGAGATGTACTCTTCTAGTTGTACTCACCTAGTTGTGGCTGCAGGGGTCGATTCATAGCTCCTGGCCCCGCCTCTTCACTGGCCGCTACTGGGTCACTCTCCCTGAACCATGAGCTTTATCATACCTCTGCTTAAAGCTATGTATGGATCCTGCCTCCACTACATCGCTTCCCAAACTATTCCACTTCCTGACTACTCTGTGACTGAAGAAATACTTCCTAACATCCTTGTGATTCATCTGTGTCTTCAACTTCCAACTGTCCCCTTGTTGCTGTGTCCCATCTCTGGAACATTCTCTGTCCACCTTGTCAATTCCTCTCACTATTTTATATGTCGTTATCATGTCCCCCCTATCTCTCCTGTCTTCCAGTGTCGTCAGGTCGATTTCCCTTAACCTCTCCTCGTAGGACATACCTCTTAGCTCTGGGACTAGTCTTGTTGCAAACCTTTGCACTTTCTCTGGTTTCTTTACGTACTTGGCTAGATGTGGGTTCCAAACTGGTGCCGAATACTCCAATATGGGCCTAACGTACACGGTGTACAGGGTCCTGAACGATTCCTTATTAAGATGGCGGATTGTAGTTCTTAGGTTTGCTAGGCGCCCGTATGCTGCAGCAGTTAATTGGTTGATGTGCGCTTCAGTTGTGCCTGGTGTTATACTCACCCCAAGATCTTTTTCCTTGAGTGAGATTTGTAGTCTCTAGCCCTCTAGACTGTACTCCGTTCTCCGTTCTCCGTTCTCCGTTCTCTGTTCTCCGTTCTCCGTCTCCTGTTCTCCGTCACCGCTGACTGTACTCCGTCTGCTAATGCCATATGTGATGGGCTTAAATGGGGTGTTGATTCTGTGGGTCTTGGGAAGATCATACATACATGTTGGTCTTGGGTTACTGAGAGTAAGACAGAGGAGCTTATTAACCTTGAAAACACCTCATCCGGTCTGCTTCAGAGGTGAGAACTACCCACACGATGTAAGGTAAATGGACACATACAACTAATGTGACATTTTATTGTGGCAACGTTTCGCTCTCCAGAAGCTTTGTCACAATAAAATATTGTATTAGTTGCATCCGTGACCTTTTACCAAACATTTTGTCGGGAGTTCTACATTATTGTTACTTACACGATGGGTGTGTGATAATTATCACCCATACGATGGGTGTGGGGTGACACCACCCAAAGGATGGATATAAGTGGCGGTAGCAGCATGTGTGATATTGGTGGTGGTCGATGGCAGATGGTGATGATGGTAGTGGTGGTAGATGGTGGTGGTAATGAGATTTGTTGTGATGGTGGTAGTGAGGTTGGTTGTGAAGGTGGTGGTGGTAGAAATGGTGGTACTGTTGTTACAGAGAGTGGTGACTGTGTCTGACCAAAAAAACACAGGTGTGAGACATCATCATCATGGGGATGCCTGGTAGCAACACAGGGAGGCGACACAGCGAGGTGTGACAGGGAGGTGACACAGCGAGGTGGGACAGGGAGGTGACACAGGGAGATGACAAAGAAAGGGAGGTGGGAGATGACAGAGACGCAGGGAGAATGACATACGGACACAAGGTGGAGACATAGTGAGGCAAGGAGGCACTGTACTATCAATAGGACAGAGGGAGGCCGGTGGGAAGGCTGTGGATGGAGACCTTAGATGGTAAGATAGAGGGAGGTGGCTCATGATAGGATGAAGGTGGGCCATGGTAGGATGGAGGTGGGCCATGGTAGGATGGAGATGGGTCATAATAGGATGGAGATGTGCCATGGTTGGATGAAGGTGGGCCATGGTTGGGTGGAAAGGGGCCATGGTTGGATGGAGGTGTGCCGTGGTAGGATTGAAGGGGGAAGGGGGGATAGCACAGCCACCTACGCATGCGCACTCAGATCGGTGAACATTGGAGCTACGAGTGTTCATCTTAACTATAACACCTGTGTACTGATGATGAATTGTGGCAGTGTGGCTCAAATGGTAGTGTCAAACAGTGTGTGTCGCCTAGTGCTCACCTAAACTGGTAGACACAACCACGAGTCTGACTGGCACCAGAGCCAATCTGATACTAGTGTCGAAGCTGCATGGAGCTGAGTGTGACACCAGTGCCAAAATCAAAAGACCGAGCTTCACAGCACCAAAAGTACATGACTGAGTGGGGCTCCACGTCCTTGGTGACACCAATGCCAGTATATACTAAGTAGGAACATTGTAAAGTTAAACTGGTCAAGACTGCAGTACCTATAATTAATTGGTGTAGCTGCTTCATAATTAGTTTGTTGATCCTTTTAATATTTCCTCTTGGAGTCAAGTAAGGAGTTCGCTCCAGATCCTTCCATATCTCTGGCTTATTTGGGTGTTCGGCCTGCGTCTGTAACCATTTGTCAAACCGCCTATGACAAGCTGCCTTGCCCCTATCTATTTTGTCAATGCTCCTGTGTTTTTTTTATGTAGTGATTGTATATGCGTTGTTTCTTTTCTCTTCCATAAGAATAGTGCATTGCAGGAGGCCTACTAGCTCATGCTATCCAGGTCCATGGCGAGGTGAGGTTCCTAGAGGTTTTCCTCGTGGTTTATTCTAGTTGCAAACCTCTCGACTGTCTCTAGTTTTCTTATATGAGTAGTTATGTGTGGGTTTCACACTGGTGCTGCATTCTCCGTGATTGACCTGACGTACATAGTGTACAGTTTTGGGCAGCTCATTCCAGCATATGCCAGTGATATGCAAAAGCTGCATACTTTAATTTGACAGGATTTTTTATGTTTTAATTCTCCTTCACTCATGAGGTATTTCTTGTTCGTTTCATATATTAGCTTTCTTTACATTTAACACTTTGACGCCGGTGTTCTTCGCTCGTATTGTTTTTATCAAATTTACTTCATCAGTAAACAGTGGCATTAAGTGTAATTCTTCTGGCCGGTGGAGTACTTGATTAAATCAAGAGGATTATGAGTCCTAGTACTAATCCTTGCGAACTCGACATTTTATGACCAAATTGGTACGTCTGTTATTATTATTGTTGAGTAGTTTACGCAACCTTTGTTAAATTAATTATAACTCCAGCATCAGGACAGTGGTAAACTGCGTGTAAAACAAGTTTTAATAAGTTGTTAGACTTAGTACGGTGTCGGTCTCAAACTGAGTGGCAATTGTTTCAAAATTCGAATTTAGACCTAGTCCTAAACTAGTATACACTCAGTACTGTAGTGGTATTGCACTAGTCCTAGAATTAGTGCGACATCATCCCTAGAAAGTAGGTAGCATTAGTATTAGAACGAGTGTGGTATTACCTATATACTGATCGGGGCCCGACAATGTAGAGTCAATTGTGTAACGAGGATAATGCGTACGTGGCAGCAATACCATATGAATTAAGTATTATACCGACACCATTTCTAAACTTATTTTGGCGTCAGTCTTATACAAAGCGTGGTACCATTTCTAAATTAATTATAGCACTAGTGTCATACAAAATGTGGCAAGAATTCTGGAACGAGAATGGCACCATTCTCCGGCTAGACTGTATGTCATCTATAGTAGACTGAGAATGGCACCAGTCCTAAATCTGAGTGTGGCATACACACGAACACATAAAATGAGCTTCAAAATCATATACACAAATGATGATAGATAAAAAAAAATCAGGAAAGTAAATGAAATATTAGAGAAAGGATCGCCAGATATAACCAGAATCACGACCCAAGTTGACCAGTAGGGTAATGGATGGCATTTTCCTAAGAGAGTGCTACACTTTGAGTCAAATAGGGAAAATTAGAAGGGAAGAGACATGGCAATAGTTAGCAGGAGACACTGCAGTTGGTAAAAGACATGTGCAACAGTTAGGTACCTTTATTTAGAAACTTTGCACTTGATGTGTAGGCGAAACGTTTCGAATAAAGGTACCTAACTGTTGCCCATGTCTCTTACTTACCAACCTGTCGGTATTATATGCCACTTTAATATTTACATTGCAGTTATAAAGAATTAGAAATCTTCTACTGGGAAGAATTTATAAACCGCACATGTAAACTATAATATATGGATGTTCATAATGAAAACATAACAGTAACAACAGTACTAAAGTTCTTAATGAGATTACATCACCTAGAGGGACTACCATTACCAGTCTCCACCACACCACCACACTAGGGAACTACCACTTACCTGTACCACCACACCACCACACTAGAGTGACAACCACTTACCTGTCAACCAACCACACCCACCACCTAGGGACTACCACTTTACCGTCACCGCCTCACCACCACCTCTAGGGACTACCTCGTACCTGTCACCACCACACCACCACAATAGGGACTACCACTTAACGTCACCACCACACCACAAACTAGGGACACTACCACTTACTGTCACCACCACACCACCACACTAGGGACTACCATTACCTGTCACCACCACACCACACACACTAGGGATACCAACTTACCTGTCACCACCACCAACCTCCACACTAGGGACTACCACTTACCGTCACCACCACACCACCACACTAGGGACTACCACTTACCTGTCACCACCACACCACCACACTAGGGTCTACCACTTACCTTTCACCACCACACCACCACAATAGGGACTACCACGCTTCCTTGTCACCACCCCACCACCTCGCTTGCGGTCTTCCACTGTCTGTCACATCTCACATCAACACTAGGGGAATACCACTTTCCTGGTCTCATCACACCTCCCACTCACCAGTTCACAACACCATCACACTTGGGTCATACCATATTACCTGGGCTCCTTCTCACCTGCTAAGTCCTTGCACATCTGGGTCAACTCGTTCTGGCACCTTCAACACCTCCTCATACCTCCTCCACTCCACAATTTGGAAGTCCTACTTTCCGGTCACCACACCCTCCACCTTACCACTCCACCTCTATTGGGGGTCTTCCACGTACCGGTCTCACTCACTCTCAATAATAGTGGGTAGTCCTCTGGTCCTGGGATCATAATCTACCTCCTCTCCTGGTATCATAATTATACTGGTATCCTACCTATCACTCACCTACATATAATAACATCACTCAAGTGGGTGTACAATAGGTAAGGGCTAATAATACTAATAATATAATAATATAATAATATAATGGTATAATAAATATAATAATAGCATAATTAGAATGATATACATAATATATATTATAATAATATAATGATATATTTAGAATATAATAATATAATAATACAATGATATAATAATTATACTAATATAATGCTATTAATAATATCATAATGACTAATAACTATTAATCAATATAATGATGATAATAATATAATAATATAATAAAATAATGAATATCAATAATATAATAATATAAAGATATCATAATAGAATACATATAATACATATAATGATATAATAATATAATAATATAATGATATAATAATCTAATGATATAATAATATAATAATATAATAATATAATAATACTAATAATATAATGAATATATAATATTAATAATATAATCAATATAATAATTTAATACATATAATGATATATTGATATAATAATATAATAAATATAAATCATATTATGAAATACTAATAATAATAATGATTTAAATAATATAATAAAATAATAATTTAATGATATAATAATTTAATCGATATAAAATATACATAATATAATGTTATAATAATATTCTAATATAATATATATAATAATATAATGACTATAATCGATATCAATATATAATAAATATAATATATATAATAATATACATGCTATAATGATATATTGATATAATTATATAATAACTATCAATAATATAATGCATTAAAATGATATAATGATATAATATATAATGATATCATAATCTAAATAATATAAAGAATATAATAATATCATAGATATAATAATACTACTGATATAATAATATAATAATATAATGATAATAATATAATGATTAATAAATATAATAATATTCAATGATATAATAATCTCATAATTATCCTAATATAATGATATAAATACTATACTAATATACTAATATAATGATATAATAATATAATAATATAACGATCATATAATATAATACAATAATAATATAATGATAATAATCAACTATCTTAATCATAAATTAAATCTAATGATATAATACATGATAATAATTAATTACTATAATAATATAATGCATATACTAAATATAATATACAATAATATCAATACTATAATTTATATAATGATCATAATAATAATAATAATATAATGATAGAATTGATATTAATGAAATCATAATATAATGTATAATGATTAATAATGATACTATAATATATGATATAATATATATGGGATTATAATAATATAATATATAATAATATAAATGATTATATAATATAATATATACATATATAATAATATAATAATATTAATGATATAATATATACATAATATAATGATACTAATAATATAATAATATATTGATATAAGGAGATAATAACTATAATAATATAATGATAAATAATGATATAATAATATAATAATATAATAATATAATGCTATCATAATATAATCCTATAATAACTAATAATCGATATAATAATAGAATAATATAATAATATAATGGAGAATAATATAATGATATAGAATAATATATAATATAAATGATAAATGATATACATAATATAATGAGATAATCATATCATAATTAATAATATATAATGATATTAATACTAGAATAATATAATAATATAATGATTCTATAAATAATATAATTGATATAATAATATAAATAATATACTGATATAATAATATAATAATAATAATGATTTAATGAATAATATATAATCCTATAATGATATAATGATATAACTAATATAATAAATATAGAATAATATACATGATTCAACTAATATAATAATATATAATATAATGATAATAATTAATATATTAATATCCATAATATAACTGAGATAATAATATAATGAATATAAGAATATAATAATATAATAATATTAATGATATAAATAATCTATTATAGAATAATATCATGATATATATAAATATAATAATATATGGATATAGATAATATAAATGTAATAATAATATAATAATATCATAAGATATAATATAAGTTATAATGAATAGAAGAATATAATAATATAATGATATAATTGATATAATTGAAATAATATATAATGATATAATGATATAAGCGATATAATAATATAATGAT